TGTACTTATCTCCAACCTTTAAAAAAAGAAATATATCAAGGATGACTAATTAGTTACTTGGTGTAACTCGGTTACTATTGCACTAGCAAAAGCACACACACAAGATTTCGACACAACAGTCTGGAGCAATGACATAATGATTAACACCTTCTCACTCCTGAGCTGCTTCTAAAATTTTTCCAATACAAAATCCAAACTAATCCAACCCAATACAACCTACCAAGTGCAATCAAGACAAATTTAAATACCTGAACTTAGCATTCTTTCGATCATTTACAATAAACAAAGAAACCCAACTACAGCACCAAAAAGAATTCAATTCACTTTTACAAATAGCAGTAGAAAAATATAAAAGGCTATACAATGTTCACTTTATAAACAAATATAACAGAGACCAGATCTTCACAAAATCAAAGCCAAACTGGCAATAGACTTTATATGCAATACAGACTTTCTGACCAACAGCCCACACAATTGCACCAGAATAATTACTTACTGTCTCAACTTTGCCCAAATAAATTGTACTCTCAGTTTCGAAGAGTTACAAAGTTTGATCAACAAGACCTATACAGTATTACTTATTCCATTACCTCAAGATCCACTTGAGATTGATCTATCTATTTAGCAGATTCTTCCTTTTCCTCTACCAATTCAAGATTGCAAATTTACTTGAGCAACTGTATTAGCCCTATGAAAAATTTTTACTTTCAAGAAACTTCCCAACAGTTACTTTCTCACTGTCCTTGAACTACTTCTAGACGATCCTGCTAATCTTTATGTGAAAATCAGGGACCTTTTTCTAATTACTGAATAGGCAAGACTACCTTTTTTCTTCAAATACTATGCAAAACTAATAAAATATTATATTATAGAGAGGATACCACCTAATTATTTTAACTTATCTGAAGCAAAGCCTCAGCTTCTATCAACTCCACAGAATCTTATTTCAGCAGTTCGGTATCTGTTCCCTTGTAATCCAACCAATGCTACAGAATTTCATAGATACGTTGATATTCTCAGAGAGTACTATAGCTTCTGATTCATTCCAAATGATTATTTTGTACAAAAGAAAATACTCCCAGTAGACCCATACTCTATCAAAACAATTGGAACTTAAAAATTTTCTGATTTCTGACACTCACCAAGCCAAAGAATTTGTAGCAAAAATCTAAAACAAATACAAATTCAATATTCACCTTTCACTAATCTACATAACTGTTAATCCCACAAATAAACCTCAACTTCCTAGTAAACCTAACCTTATTACCAAAGTAAATTTAACAATACCAATTAGAAGCCCCAAAGCCCTGGTCGATATTGCTCGATTTTTAAGAGAATACTACTTTTTTTATCAAATCCCAAGTGAAAGGATTGAAATCTATATTACTGAAAACACCTCAAAAAAACCTCTACTTCCATCTCAGTTATCAGAGATTACTTCCTATTTAGAACAAACAACCCTCCACTACACAATTCAAATTCTGTTTACTAAACATGAAAAGATTGAAAGCACTATCACAGAGCTACAAAATCACTTTAACTTCAAGGTATAACTCCTTACTTTCTTAATCTCCCTAATCTATCAGACCCCTACTATGAATGAAAACCTACAAACCGGCCCACTATTAACCATTTCTAACTTCACAGCCCCAAATATATCAATCTCCTCTCCAATCTCTCATCACCACATAGTGATCCACAGAACTTGATATTCACAAATACCTTAATATAGTTACCCACAATGCTCAAGAGCTTACTGATTCACTCAAACTTCAAATCTGGCTTGAATTTTGTACAAAAAACAATTACCATATTATTTTTATAACTGAAACCAAGTTAAAAGATTTAGCTTTAGCATCTCTCGCCAATCTATACTATAATATATACACATCAAACTTCTTACCCAAAAACAAAACACAACGAGAAGCAAGCCTCAGTACCACAGTAGCCTTATACATAGCATTATAGCCATATATTCACAATATTTAAACTTTCTCAGGCACTGCACTATGCATAGATTTTCAACTACCTTCAAACAACAAACTCCGTCTCATCTCATTTTACCTACTCTTCAACCATCCTAACCAATCAACAACAACACAAAATACAATCGCAAATTGGCTACTAGAAACAAGACACAAGAACTGGCACACTATTACTCTTGGTAATTTTAATGACAACACAAGATATTGCAAAAGAACCTCGAAACTTTTTTCTACCCTACAGTCTCTATCCTCGACAAGCCTCCTTAACTTTTTTACTATTACTGAATCTACTTGAAAACGTGGTTCACAACAAAGTCAAATTAATGGTATCTGGGTTAACCCAGAAATTATATTAAATTTTAGCCCATCTTTACTTATTGATCCAGCAGAAATTACTGATAGTAACTACAAAATAATCCTAACCATCAGGAAAACTGAATTTAACCTTAAACTTCCAAGATTAAAGAAAAAAAAAAGAAAATTTTATCTTTACGACCAAATAAATTCAGATACTTGGCAAGACTTTTTACAAGCTATTGAAATAGAGTTCAAAACACTAAACATTTTATCTTCTCCGGAAAACTATGACTAACTCAACAAATATTGGAACAAATAGTCAAATGCAATCAAGAAAATCGCCAACTGGGAGATTTTAACAATACTTAAATTCTCTAAAACATTTTATGCTTTCTTCTCAAAAGCAACTAAATTACACTTAGCACTCAAAACAATCAACAATACACTTTGTACCTTCTGCTCTGTAAAACCACCTAATTCAATACCCTTTATAACACTAAATATCAATGCCTTACTTACAAAATCAACTTTCTAACAGAAATGCAGGTCAAATTCTGCCAACTCTCTGACCTAATCTCAAACTATGCACACTTCCTTACGGGTTTAAAGAATCTAAAAAATACAATATGGAAAGCATAAAGCATTAAAACAAAAGTAGCACAAAGAGAAAAAATTAATTTTTATATACAATGAGTTACAATAACATTGAAACAAACACCTCAAGGATGATTAACAGCATACTCAACTGGCAAAAAGCAAACATCTCTTATGACAAAATAATTACTCCTAACAAAATAATTACAGATCCAAAGGAAGTAAAGCAAGCAACACAAGACCACTTCAACAATTGGACAAAATTTAACTTGACTTACACAAATTTCGAACATGAGTGGATACCCTACCTACAACCCTGCCAAACCTCTCTCCAAACATCTATAATGACCTTATCAAATCTAAAACCCAAAGTGAACTATCTAATATTATCAGTACTTTTCCTACTCAGAAAGCTACAGGTCCATCCAGAATATCTAATGAAATGATTAAACATTTACCTCATATTGCAATATTCTTATTTCTTTTAATTTTTAAATCATGTCTAAAGCTAGAACAAACACCAATAGGTTGGGAAATGGCTAACATATGAGCTATCCTAAAAAAACAACACTACAACAACAATCTACTATACCTACCCAATTACACTCATTAAACACACTCGAAAAATTTTTACCAAATTACTTACACTTCGACTAAGCCAGATACTTACTCAGCATCAAATTCTCTCAAAGAACAATAATGTAACCCTCCCTTTTACTTCATTCCTTCCTTCTATTCAAACCATAACACACATCATTAAACATGCTAATATTACCAATAAGGAATACTAGCTTCTAGCACAAGATATGTCAAAGGCTTATGATACTATCCACATATCACTTCTTACCAAAACCCTGCAATATATTCATATCCCACAAAAATTTATCAATCTACTAAACTATCTTCTTAATAGCAGAAAAAATACTGTAATAATGGATATAGAAAGAACAGAACCCTATAAAGTATAGGACAGAATTGATCAAGGAGAAATATTCTCCTAACACAATCTATTTACAAAATTCAAGTTGACTGCAGAAGACAAATCTATAGACAACTGAGCTGCCTATTCAGACCTCTTATACTACTGCCCAAACAATACAATACCTGTCCTGCTTTGCCAACTTTGGATTACTATACAACCTATTGCTTTTTACAACTATTCAAAAACATACAGACACAGATATGGAAACTATATACCGAATCTACTTTTTCAAAACACCTACAACTATACATTACCATTAAATCAAAAAAAGTAAAAAACACAAACAAAACAAAAACTTCTTTTGCACAAATACAGCTCCAACACAACCAACAAGTCTGGCACATAATAAACAAATTCTTCCCTTCTCATACTTATGCAACTTTTACAGCATTAGCAGTAATCTATACCATTCTCTCCCCTCAAACATAAATAACTATTACTACTGACAAAAGCTGGCTTCAGTTCAAAATATGATCCATACTAAATCTTTCTTTATATCACCAACAACACCTTTGAAAAATACCTTTTAACAATATTATATCTATGATAAGAGCAATTATTTTGGGAAAAAACCATAATATGAATATCAGCCTAACAAAAAACAAATCAAAATACTAACACCTAACCTTCAATTACATGCTAACCTTACGCCTCAAACAGTAATAAGTTCAAACTTCATTCCATGTATCAATGGAACTCCTGCAACATATTCAATCCACCAGCTACCCAAAATAATCCAAAGAGCCAAAGCAATTATCAAATAGAACAAACAAAATCAGATCAAAGCAATAATACAACAACTCCCAAACATTTACTGAAAACTCACATTCGACTACCTCAACTATCAAAACAATCCACTCAGCCACAATACTTGCCCAACTAATATTATATCTATAGATTTTTATCTCCCTAAATGTAATACCTCTTTAAATGCACGTGCTAGAGCTGGTCCTGATGACGTGCATTTAGGGTGGTCTAACTGTATATATTTTCTGTATCTGGCCTCATAACACTAAATCAATAGCCATAGCCTTTTTGTAAATTTTCTTAGCACTTTCAAAACCTGTGTTAGAATTATTATATATTAGTGTTTCAATAAATTTTATAAAAACTGATTGCATTTACTTAGCTACACATAGAGATTATAGTTTAGTAGATTTTTCAAAAAAACCTATGATTAAAGCCTCAATATCTTCATAATAAGATTCTATTCAATTAGTGCAATATCAGTTACTGCTTGTATACACTTATTTCGATCACAATACCAAGAATCCTATTGTTAAAAAAGTTGCTTAGTTATACCACGTTGCCTTTGAAATAAATTATTTTGATAATCTATAATATTATTGCATTCATCTAATTCCAACCTCATCTCTGGTATAATCTGCTTTCTATCTTCTATTTACTATTGCAAATCTGACACCACTATATATTTGTTGCTTCTTTGTTCTTCTAGTTTTTATTACAATTTAGCAATTGCTTGTTTATACTCTTTTTTGCAAATATTAAAATCACTAATAAAAATAAAATTACCAAAATTAGAGTTATCTAAAAGATACTAATAAAAATAATTAGTAGATATAACTTTTTTTTTTTTTTTTTTTAAGAGAGGTCTTTTCTCTATTTCTTTATTTCAAAATATATAATTTGAGTACAACTAGTACTAATTTATATATTTAATGAAGGGGAGTAGAAGTTAGGGCTAGGATTTACCCTCAACCTATTCTTAGCTAGAATAGCTGAAAAATCTTTAGACTATGTAATTTGAAAGGAGAGATACTGAATTATAATGAATAAAAGCATTGAGCTATAAGTGAAATTTTCTATCTAGTGAACAAAGAGAATTATTGTTTTCTAAAGATGTAATTATAACTGGTGGGTTTGAAGTATTATTTTGTGTCTACATTTGGCTTGGTTTTTATATTTCTTCATGTATGTTTTTGATAACTGTGTAATAGATTTGTGGAATTAATGTAGTACTTTGGGAGAGTGGTTCTAATTTTTATACTATTTTCGAGTCAATGAAGCCAAGTAAAATTCATTTTTGGATATAAGTTGTCACAAACTCTTGAATGAAGTCTCCGAGTAATGGTATATTCATGCTATTTGTTTGGCATATGTTAGTTATTACTTTGAATATGATATCTTGGATATTTGTTTGATTATGTTGACAAGTAAGCATGTGTGAGGTGTTTTCAGGTATTTTTGTACATTTTGTGCAGAAGGAGTTAGAATGCGTAATCGGGCCTCTTTGATAAAGGTGTAGATGTGTTGGTAATTCTGAAGTTAGTAATTTTATTTTAAATATTTTTAGGGTTGATTTAGTTGGGCAAGTATTGCGGCTGAGTGGATTGTTTTGATAGTTGAGGTAGTCAAATATGAGTTTCCAGTGAATGTTTGGGAGTTGCTGTATTATTGTTTTGATCTGATTTTGTTTATTCTATTTGATAATTGCTTTGGCTCTTTGGATAATTTTAGGTAGCTGGTGGATTGAGTATATCGCAGAAGTTCTATTGATAAATAGAATGAAGTTTGAACTTATTACTGTTTGAGATGTAAAGTTAGTATGTAATTGAAGGTTAGGTGTTAGTATTTTGATTTTGTTTTCTGTTAGTTTAATGAAACAATTGAATATTAAGCTTGTGAAGTGTTATTATTAATTAAGCAGTGTTAGTTTTGTATTCTTTTGCAGAAAAGATCAGTTTTTTTAAAAGAATAGATAGGTTGAAATTAGTGACATTCTGGAGTTGTTGTAGTCGAATTTTGATACTTGAATTGTCAAAGTCTGGTATGTAAATACTACAATTCAAAGTTCTGATTTGTTGTTGTTGTTGAATATTATAAAGTATATTTAATATATAAATCAGAGAATAGTATAAAGTGGAGTTGGGTGTTGATCAAGATAATTGTGTCTTCTGTTTAACTATGTTTGTGTAGAATTTTGTGATTTTGGAACATGCGGATTTTGTTAAATATGTGCTTTGTATTTGGTATGCTGCACATGTTAGAATTACATTGTTAATGATGTAAATCGCTTGTAATTTTTGCATATTAAATTTTTTTTAAATTTGAGATGATTTCGTTAGTAATGAGACTTTTTGCTATAGTGCGGGACACCTAAAAGCGGAAGTCACGTGACTTTGTCCTATTTTGGGGCTAAATTTAAAAATGTCTCAAATCGCACAAAAAATGATTTTTGCTCA